CAATTGATTGAGTTATTCTATTGATACTTCTTCCTGGACTTGGTAATCCATGGACTTCTGCATAATTTTCTAGAAAAATTCTTTACTACTCTGCAACATTTTTATCAATCACCATCTTAGTTTTCCATTGAGGCATTCTTTTAATATTACCATGAATTCTTGGTAAAAGACCATTGTTTATTAGATGATTTCTAATATTTTCAAAGTAAGTTCTGCCAATGCCCAGCATATTGAGATAAGTTTCTTGACAAAGAAGTGTATTGTGATCCCAGTGATAGAAAGTTCTTTTATTAGATCTATTTTTCTTTCTAAGGCGTCTGCTGGTGCTTATAGATCCACCATCCATTGCTTTAAGTTGGGCCATCAAAAATATGTCTTGTTCAGACTTGGAAAGAGCTTGAAAGGATTCATGTAATTCTGCAAATTCTTCCTTGGGAATTCTGGAAGAGCAACCACATTTACAACCTTTTTCTAAAAAATCAATTGCCTTTTCATATTCATTAGAACCATTATATTTATTATTACTTTTCATATACACTTATCCCTATATATATAATTTTATGTTCACTTTGTAGGTTTTTGTTAAAATTAAGTACAGATGGAAAGTCTGTGTTTGGTTAATTACAGTCTGGGTTTCTGCTAATTGGGATTGTGTAACAGGTGCTGATTTTTACACTAAAACCCAATTAAATTACAATTTTTTTCCATGGTATAGTGATGTGATTACAAGTTCTTTTATTAAGATAGTACAAAAAAATTATTACAAATTTGCATTGAAAAGCATACAAAAAACCAGAATCAATTGAAAATCAATTCGGACCTCAAAAAACTTTTCCTCCATAACAAATTCTAATAAGACATTTTATATATTAGGGCATACATTCTGGACTTTTAAAAATTATAATTCCAAAAAACTAGACGACATGTAACAGTCTATTGTTATTCACGTATTAATTTTCTCTTTAATTCATGACACAGTCACACGAAATTTATTTTGCATAAAATGTCGAAATTATTACATTTTATTTTTATTATATTTACGTTAGCTATATTATTATTTGTATTGTGTTTATTATTATTTATATTGGTTTATATTATTATTTAGATACAAGTTACCAATTAAATGCTGCAGCTTTTCAGAAAGTTCTAAGATATTATTATGATTATGATTTATTTATGGTTTATTTATTTGTAAAATCATATAATGTACTTTTTTTTGTATAAAAAGATAAGCTTTCCGTAATAATAAAGAGTAACTTGTATTTTTAAAAATAAATTGTAATTTGATGTAAGGAAAAGGGTTTCCTTACATGGGCAAGACTCCAACAAATATCTAACAAGCAAGACAGACACCACAAAGATATTTATGCTTATTTGTTCATTTATGACCACTTAATTCACAAAGCGTCATGACAAGAACACTCAAGTTGGCTTCTACGTTTTTCAAATAGTTCAGAAGTTATTTTATTTAAAATAATTATTTAAGGAGATGAAGTGATAAAAAGTAACATTATTATTGCTATTGTTATTATTATTAATTTGCTGCACTAATTATCTTCATGATACATGATAATCAATTCTGAATTTTACATATATATTAATATTAGTATATCAACAATTAATATACAAAAATTACTATTTTAATTTCTTCATATTAGGAAGCCAATATATTGCCCAAAGATCCAAGTGCTTGGCGGCTTTGACTTCGGGTTATAACATTTAGCCCTTTTGAAGATGTGTTATTCTTTCCCTTGTATTTAAGATCTTTATCATCCTTTTGTTCTTCATCTGATGTATCAGAAGATAACTCTTTAACAGCAAACATTGCAGGCTTTTCAATGAATGGTGAATATCGATTACTAGTGGCAGTGAAAATTACATAGGCAACTGATTTGAGCAATGTAGGGTCTGTTGATGTGTTAGTAATGACATCTGATATTTGCAACCACCCTTGATCTTCCTTTACACCTCTTTTAAGAAACCATGTTTGATTGAACGTTGATAATACGCCATAACTATAAAAAGAATAAAATTGGCTTAAATTAAAATCTGTTAAAGTTGGATAAAACAAAAGAAAGTGGAAATATTTACCATAATTTATTGGCACACATATATCCATAAATTTGATTTATAGGTTCGTAAACTGTAGTATCTTTTGAACCTGCATATTTTCCCTTTCGAGTCTTCTTTTCCCGAAGATAAAGTGATACAATGTTCTTATTAGAAGGCACCTTTAAAACCCATATTGTTTTATATTCAAAGGGTATAAGTGCTTTGCAGTTTTCATCAACCACTATGAAATCTGGCTCTCCAGCCATATCTTCCAAAGCACGGCCATCTAGAAAGCAAATTGATCTGTCTAGTGGTGTTAGAATATCATGGATATTTATTTCTGCTGCCACTCATATATCTTTTTCACATGTAATAGTACGTGATCCAAATACTGGTTTTTTGTATCGCTTATTGATGTACTCTGACTGCCATGATCGCACCTCTTCTTTGAACCCTACCCAGTTTGAAATCCTATCAGGAAACCGTTGTTCAACAGATATGGTGCTTGAATCTGATTTATAATGTCTCAACTGAAGATAGACCAGGTCTGGTAATATATTATGAATGATTTTTGTCAAAGAGACCTCTGAGAATTGTAAAAAATCAAAAAAAGCATAAATGGGGTGTGATCTGAGAAAATCAGTATCAATACAAATACAAGAAATGAAACTAGAACACACCTGTAGAAGCTTCATGATCTGGCTTAAGCCTCTTCTTTGGATTATCTTTTTCATCAATATTACTTTTTTTAGCAGAAGTAGGAGGAAAAGAAGTATGAGTTATGTTTTCTCTTTCACCATCTTTTTTTCCAGATTTCTGTAATAAAATATAAGGAGTTATGAGTAAGATCCTTCATCATAAGGAAGGCACATAGCCAATTCCTTCTCCATAATCAGCAGACCTTAATCAAAGAACCTCATAGAAAGTATGCACGTCTTAGCGGATGTGAAACATTCTGGCTAGACGTTTTCACCCCGTAGCCGCAGAATACAGGGTATAGCATACTCACTATGCTCGTTAGTATTCTACATTACTGAGAACGTGTAAAATACTAACCAATTTACGTTTTAGATCCAACACTTTCCGACCCTTTCTTGTCTTTGGTCTTAAATATTTTATCAACACTTCCAGTTCAATAGCCAGAGCACTATGCGATTTCCTCTTTGTTTCATTAGGGTATTTCTTAAAGTAAAAAAAGTCCCATGTATCCACTTTCCACTCTTCATACGATCTTTTCCAGTAATCAATATGTTGAAGTTTACTCAAGATTTCTTCTGACAACATCGTTAAAAAAGTAACAGGATGCAAGGTATAGCAATAGGGAACAATAATATGTCCAAGGTATATAGAAAGCTTAAATACAATATTAAAAAAATTGTTATTAATAAAAGACATTTTTTTCAAAACATGTTCACGTTTGCTTAAAAATCAATTGTTTTTCCTTTGTATAACATACGCGATTTTTTTTGTAGAATTAGAAGATCAAGTGACTTTGTCATATGATTTCGAATAAATTCATTTTTTTTTATCGATATTTGTAATATGTACATTTAATTTACTTTGTATAGTTAGAATACTGCTTCAAACTCAAAATCGTGCTTCAGTGTATAATTAGTTGGAATGTATATATAAGCAGTTGAATTTTCATGCACTTAAAAAAAAAGGATTTTGAATCTTAATTTACTTTTCTTTGAATAAAGTAATAACAGTTTCGACTATATTTAAATCAAATCATAAACCAAGGCCATATTCCTCATTTCGTCTGATTTATATTAAAAATTTTATTTGTTTTATTTATTTATTTATTTATTTATTGTTGCGAATATATTTAATGTACTAATATGGTTAGAATAATGTTTAGACAGGATTTTGTGTTTAAACTCGAAATTGAGCATAAACAGGAACCCGTGTAAACATGAAACATACTGTTTAAACTCGAAATTGTGCTTAAGCAGTGAATAATTAATGAACATGTATATAAGAGATTGAATTTGCATGTAGTTTTGGGATTTTTAGGCAGAAAGATTTTTAGGTTTTTTAGATTCAGGTAGAGTTTAGTTTTTAGAGTTTGTTTATTAAACTTTGGTTTAGGTTCGATTTATTAATTCGCTAATAAAGGTTTTGACCTATATAAAATTCACATTATCCATTTAATCAATTAAACCAAAGCTATTCGTTAGTATATATTCCTCACTTCATTCTGAAATAAATAAAACTATTTCAATTGCCACCCACTATATACGCTCTCCCACATTAAAATAGTCCGGTGACAGTAAGGAGCAATTTTTTCACCTTGTTCCTTTTTTAAAATACTTCTAATGGTACTATAATTCTTGGGTTCCTGATGTAAATGAGTTTCATATTAACTATTTTTATATAGGAGTGGTTCTATATATCACTTAAGGTAACAAATTGGACTGCAATTGTGATAATAATGACTAAATTTTGAACCCTGAATCCTTGGTAGCACTAATGTTCACTTTGTCTGGTTTTTTTGCAGTATGTCTCATATACTATTACCCAACAAAAAGCAGAAATCCTTGAAGGAAAATAATATCCCAGCGAATCTTATTATTATTGTGACGATGACAACAACAGTAATAATAACAACAATAATAATGATAATAATAAAATATTTATTTTAAATGAAGACTACTAACCTCTATCTTTATCTACACTAAGAACAATTTCTTAATGAAGTCCATTGGTATTATATAATCTTTGGCATGAAAGAAAAGAGATTAATAATTAATATTTTCTATAATATGTGTATAATATTTCATAAGTAAATATATATAAATTTAGCTTTTTTAAAAAAAATTTTGTTGGAAATGTAATATCAATTAAATTTCTATAAAAACAGTTTTTAGTAAATATCTTTAAAGTTTATTAATTCGTGATTCTTTTAAAAATGAGTGATCTGCATTGATTTTAAATAAGGATCGGCGGGGATAATTACACTAATAAAACACATATGGGATGTCCACCAGCAAAAAGGGGGTCTGAGACTATTAAATTGTTCTGTGTTATAATCAAAACAAAATTGGTTACACAAATAGTTTTGATATGTAAAGTAAATATTTCAAGTCTTGTATCTCATTATTGTACTAGGTAAACATGTTCTAAATTTTTCACCAACTATAATCCTTATGATATAGATATACATTATGCAAAAAACTCAATTTTGGCCAGGAGTTCTCAGACCCCCATATTGCTGGTGGACATCTCATATGGAGGGTCCTTATATGGAGATATGACTGTTTTTTTAAAAATAAAATGGCTGAATTTTTCATAAAAATAGGTTTTATTCAAGCGTAATTTTAAACATCTGAATTAAATATTATTTTATTAAAAAAATACCATTTATAATTTCCATTATGTCTTTAGTTCAATCCTAACAATTCAAAGAAGATATTGAATCACCTGAAATTTGCTTGATAGTGAGATTATAGGTGATTTGACTTCACAAAAATTATCAAACCTTAGATATTCTTTGCCCAAAACCTAGCCAATTAATAATTTAATGTATTATTTTTAATATGCAAAGTAATTTTTTATTGTGTGTAACAAAAATAGGGTATGTAGTTCTGTTTTTATATTTGTGCAAATTATTCTAAAGAAGGTATCTGGCCACAATTTCCCATTTTTTATTAAGCAAACAGGGTCTAATATTTTCACAATTATAGTCTATATGTTATAGGTTAATGTTATGTTAAAAACTTAAATTTGGCCAGACCTTGGAACCAGTTTTTGCTAGAGAACCCCATATATCTATATTAATGACAAAATGGTGCTTACTGCAATCAGAACATCTGAGAAAAAAAAGCCATTGTGTTGATGGAGGAAAATTATTTTATTGTTTTTGTAGCCATCTATAAATCATAAAAAAAGATCCATGTTGATAAGCATTTAAATTATCATTAGAAAAATTTAAAAAGCATGTTGAGAATCATCCAGCAGTTCCCTTGTTTAAAGCAATCAGGTGTTTTGACCCAATCAAATTCCAATCATCACTGTTCTCATATTTTATCATCAATGACTATACAAATGATCTTATATATGAATGGGGAATCTATGAAAATTTTGATTTAGACAGTTATTGGAATCAAAATCAAATATATTACCAACACTAAGTTCAATTGCATTAAAATATATTTGGTTGCCTATATCTGATGTTGATGTGGAAAGGTATTTTTCAAATTATAAATGTATCTCATGTGATAAATACCTGGCTTTAAAAGAAGACTCAATTAAAAAAATTAAATTTTATGTATTGTAATTTTTCTGATAATGTTAATTTTGGCCAGAATTATTCTCAAATTTGCCCTAAAATTATGATCACATAAAAGCATAATTTGGAGAAAAAAGCATAACACTGGACACCCTATTTTTTATGCTCATTGGTGTTTTAATTTTTTTGATTTTATCTAACCTGAAAGCAGTAGTGTGTGCATATAAAATTCAGTATGCAGAATTTGTACTTTTTGAAAAATTTGACATTACACCTCTATTTCTATAAAAAATGATTAATCTTTATTGATATTTTTTCGATAATGTGTTCCAATTTCATTACTATTATTCAATTCATCATCTGATGTTTCAATAAGCTTTATTGTTTGAATTGAAATATTCTTTTATTTTTTCAGACCAAGAAGACCTTTTTTCAGGAATATTGATAATCAGGGTTGTGAAATTTCGCTGTACGAGAAGAATCTTCATACGTACGTACGTACATACATACGTACGACTGACTTCGTACCATTGAGTTTGTATTATGCAAATTATGCAACAAATTGTCAATTATGCACTGCATAAATTATGCATTAAAAATCCAAATTATGCGAAAATTATGCAAACACATAAACCTGGGGTCTCTAATACGTATGACTGACTTCGTACCATTGAGTTTGTACAGTTTCGTTGTGGTTGTACACCTGTACAAGGAAATTTTACATATGTACATACGTATGTACGAATGTATGAATGTACGATGTATCAGGAACGATGATTTTCTGCAGTGGCAAAATATTACTTTGTAAAATCCTATAATAATAATATTATTATTAAGCTGATAACACTATTATATAATTAATGGATTACCAGATGTTGTAACTGGGTCGTAACTATTTCATTATCAGAAAAAAACTGATTATCATGTTATATATGCTTATTTAAATCCCTTGTTAATATGTAGTAGTATTATATACGTTATTATTATAGTTAGTGTTGTGCAATTTTGTTGTACAAATGTACCATATCAGCCGATTTGGTTTTTTGGGCCTTTTTTCAAACCTTATGTCTTATTGTGTCTTGATGTTAAACATGAGTATATTTAATGTGTAAACCGGTCAGTAGAATGATAATTACCCTAAAAAATATTTGCTCCGCTAAAAAAACTAATTTACTATCTATCAACCCGCCAAAACCAATGGGTTTTTGCTAGTATAAAGTATTCATAACGTTATGATCATACCGTACTGGATTTTGGTATTCAAACAAAATCAGTGCATATGCGATGATTTTCTATGGTGATAAAATATTATTTTATAATAATATTATGCTGTCAACCCTATTACTATTACGATTACTATAATTAAAGGTTGTAGCAGATCATAATACTACTTCGTTATCAGAAAAACCCTGATCATCATATTATGCTTACATTATTCTGGGTGCATTATTGTTAGTAATATTAGTAGTATTATTATTACCATGATTCCTAAATTTTGTTTTCTATCTATTTATAATAAAATCTTTACATTCTTGTTAATTATATTATCAATTTAAAATAATTAATAGTAGTATTAAATATCTTCAATCATATACATAGTTAATTCCACAATATAGTCAACCCTTGACACAGAGGATGAACAGTACACATAAACAAATTTTATTTAAAATCCGTTGTGGCAAGATTACTAAATACTAATACTAATCTTGCCACAGCGGATTTTTATATATTTTTACATGTGATATGCGAAGCAAAAAATTTTAAAAATCCGTTATGACAAGAGTTTGATTATTATTATAGTTCGTTGTGACGAAAGTTACACATATATATTACATTTGATCAACCAATAAAAATTATCATAAATCACATGATATGTTCGTACAATGTACTAAAAAAATTTTAAGCTCATACATACGATATGTGCATGTGTGCATGTACGATCCCCAACCCTGATAATACTTGCTCTCAGGGTTATAATTACAATACTTCAATTCATTGTATTTTGGGATATTGTGTCCCCTTATTTTTAGCATATTTCCCAGATGAAATAGCT